CCCAAGGTGTCACCCTGCAGCGTGTGCTGCATCCCTTCCCTCTGCACCTTCCTCCTCCAGGCTGCTGCTCAGTTCTCAGCCAGGAGCCCTGCAAGACCCAATCCTAGAGCCATCCTGACAGACACTGGGGTTTTAGCACTGGCTGGATTTCAAATCCTCCCTCTCCAGCTCTTATAAATGAGGGCAGCTACTCACAGGAGAGCTCTGATTTACACCACAGAGGATCTGACCTGGAAATGTAGAAACTTCCTGGAGATTAGTCATGAGAAATGCAAAGCACTATTAATAACAGTGTTTGTAACACGAGAAAGCAGACGTGTGAAAACACAAACACTGAAGATATATGTTATAAATTTAATTTGAGCCTGTGAACATCAGTTTATTTGCCTGCTCTGACAGCGTGTCACTTCAGCATGGCCTGGGAGCTCTGAGGCCTGGCACAGAAGGCTCCAGAACGTCATCAGTGCCAGCAGATTTTCCTCAGGAATGGGGCCCTTTGTAAGAACTTGCGTCAGAATCCGAGACTTTGCGTCTGAGCCTTCAAAGGGCTGAGCAGAAGGCAGAGCTGGGGGAGCAGGGGGAGCTTTGACAGGGGGCTGGAGCTCTGCTGAGCTGGAGCTGAGCAGCAGAAGGCTGGGTTGTAGCAGCTTCTCCTAGGTGACATTGTTTGCTTTCTCTGGGTGAATGTTTTAAAAGGCATCTGTTGAAATGTCTTGCAGAATTCGCACAACATATGTGCAGACTCAAATGCAAATCTGCAGCACATCCCTTTTGCCACTTGAGCTTTGTTTAAAACTTTGCCATCAATTCACTTTTTTGTTTTGGGTATCATCTGCTCCCGTCTTTGAACATGAAAGGTTTTGTGCCTCGTGTAAACAACTTTGAAAGTGTCTTCAACAAGAGGGGCAGAGCAAGATGTGACAAGAAGACTTCAGGTCCAATCTGCACAGCTCTGGAAATCATAAACTTCTCTGAGCCCCAAGCTTGCTAAGCACTGGCAGAGAAATGAGGCTGTGCCTCAGCTCAGAGGGGCTTTGTGTCCCTCTTAGATGCCACAGCAGCCGAGTGCATGAGTCCAGCAGAGCAGTGAATTTGTGTGTCCCCCTTCAGTGCAATCCCCAGGCACAGCAGGGCTGCAGGACCCACACCCCTGCCAGCCCCAGCCCCTTTTCCTGTTTGGATCAGTGATGCCTTGGAGTGCCCACCTAGAACAGAGGCTGGACAAGATTAAGGGAATAAAATGGGGATTTGTTAAAGGCTTTCAATAGATACACCTTGGGCAGCCAAAGCCTCCCAGAGGCTACACCCAGAATGGACAATGGTCATGGGTTTTTCAGACAATTAGAAGTTTGGTCTATTTGCATATCAGGGATTAATCCACCAATTACAGCTTCAGGTAATGAAGTTATATTCCCCCATTTTTCTCCCTCCCAATTCATTTTTGTTTATACTTTCTGGGGCCTGAGGCTGTGGTGTGTCCTTGGATCCCAGCCCAGAGGAATTGTTTTGTCTGACCAAAATGTGAAGACAGTTAACTACACTTTATATGGAGTTCAGGGCTATGCAGTAAAGCAGTGTAGGATTTGAAAAATATAAAAGCTAAAATCCTAAGGCATCATCAGGATGTAGCAGGAGCATGGGCAGCCCCTTCCCCAGCCCTGTGAGCAGAGCAGGAGCCTCTCAGAGCCTGGCCCAGGGATGCTCTGGTTCCTATAAAATACAGCAGGGTTCAGACTGGCCTGGCAATTCTGGCTCGTGAAGCAGAAGAAACGCACCCACCTTGCTTGGCAGGGCTCCAGGAGGAGAGATGAGAGCTCCAGAGAGCTCCCTGCTCCCCTCCTGAGCTCCTTGTGCCAGCCTGCTGAGTTCTGGGCTGGGCTGTGCCCAGTACCAGGCCTGGAGCATCCCTGCTCAGGGTACTGTGCAACCACTGCTGCCTGGAGGGTGAGGAATGCTGCAGAGCTCAATTCCTGCTGAATTAATCAGAGACATCAGCAGAATTTTAAAGCCTTGCATTGACTGTTCCAAGGTGGGGCTGTTCTGAGGTTTGTAGCAAAGAGAGTTTAGAACCCAAGAGAAATGGCTGGTGAGGTTCCTGTGGCTGCTGTGTGTCCTCTGTGCTGGGTGAGTTCATCTCCTGCCTGCTCCTCTGCCAATTCCTGTGCCAGGATGGATGGCGTGTCAGAAAATGGGCACAAAATGGCACAGAGATGCAGGGTGGTGCTGAGGAAAATGGGGACTAAACCTGACTTCCATAGTTAATCCCAGTAGCCATGGGACAGAGCTCATTTTCCAGTGCCCAGAGTGCAGAGCTGGACTGGGATGAGTGGGAATGCTGGGGAGCACAGTGTACAACCTCAGCTGCCTTGCAGGGAACTGGGAGACCTTTTCATTTGCATCCTGATTATTGATTATGACCTGCAGCTTCCATAGGAGCCCACAAACACCACAAACAAAGAGAGAGACCAGTGACAAGCATGACTCAAATATATTACAGAGTGAAAAACTGCTGAGAAACTCGTGCTGAACTGGCCTCAGAATATAAATTGCACGAGATATTTCTCCTTACTAGAGGGCCTCAGTTCTCTGATCTCCCCCTCAGACTACATTATGCAAAAGACATCTGAAATTAGCTTTGGTCATTTCAGTTTATCCCTTATTTTGCTGAGTGACGGGCAGTGGATTTCAAGGTGACTTCTCGTTTGCCAGAATCATTCCTGACTGCCTGGATGGGAGAAGATGAAGTGATCCTGCAGCAGCCCATCAGATGAACGTGTGGCATTTAATTTCACACACCTCCTGCAAACAGTCAATTAATGCTCCTGCTCTGGCACCGAGCACAGGCTCCGTGCCTATGGCTGGGCTCATTGCAGCATGTCCAAACCCCCATGAAAATGGAGATTAGCTACAGGTTCTGGCTGAGGAATTTGCAAAGAGATGTCACCCCAGGGTCCTTGCCACACAAGCACGAGGAGGAGTGGGGACATGGTTTCAATGCTGATGCAGTCTCTGTTTAGTGGGTACCATGGAATCAATTGTTTCCAGCCCCCTGATGAGCAGGGTGCACTCCCCGATCCTGCAGCCAGTCTGTTAGACATGGATTGAAGCCATCAGCAAGGAAATGATGCTCTCTGGGAGGTGGCACTCCAGCTCCCTCGGGTCTGGGCCCTTTCTGCCACACCAGAGCCCTGCTCCAGAGGAGCAGAGAGGAGCAGAAGAAACAGGAGAGGAGATTTATGAGCCGGGTGGTTATTGCATTGTTAGGAGGAGTTTTTCACCAGTGCTGAATTCTGTAAGAATGTCAGGACTGCTTCAGCCTGTCTTTGACACTGCAGTGCTGAGGGTGGGTAACAGGAGGTTTAAAGTATCCAGGGGAAGTCACAGTGGGAGAAAAGCTGTGGAAGCAGCTCTGGATCCCTGTGCACAGACACCCAGAACTGCTGGGTTCATTTCCAGGCAGCAGGGGCACCGGGGACACCATGAAATGAAAAATTCAGAGGAAAACATTCTGCTGTCCAACAACCAGGGCTCCACACGGCCTAAAGGCAGCAGGGGAGGAGATGGCCTCACTCTTATGGATGTTTTTTGGAGAAAACAGATTCACTTATGACTCAGGTGTAGAAAAATGTCTGTGAAATGTCTGCACTCTACTTGGGTGGATTTTGTTATGAATTTTTTTTTCTGGGAAATGGGAGAAGTTAGCAAGTGTATGGACACTGCACAAAGCCAAAGTGAAATTCCCTTGCTGCTCTGTTACTTCTGGGCACAATCTCTGCTTTTATCTCAACCAGCCCATGGTGCAGAGGAGGCAAGAGGGCTTGGGGCAGGTGAGTACACACTGATCATGCATTGCTTTTCATGGGACACTTCAGGGATGTGCAGCAGGAATGTGTGAAGGCAAGACTTGGATATTCTGCTGCTCTACCAGAGAATTTACTCACCTGATTTCATTTTCAGACCATACCTGAAGTGACCATCTCCTTGGTCTTTTGCCTCAGCTACAGAGCCCCATCACTGCTGTGGGGTCTGACAGACAATTCGTGTCTGTTCTGGCTTTGCTTCCAATAATTGAAGTTCTGGCTTTGTTAAATACTTTCATATCTGCTCATTTTAATATCTGAACACCTGGGAGTTATAACTGCAGTCCAACAAGTCCAACAGGTCCCTGTCCCTTGGCTGGGCTGATGAAAGAACAATTTCCAGCTTTCAGCAAAGGAACGAGGTTTCAAAACCCTGTAGATTGTCTGGACTTCAATTTTACATCTGGGCTCAGTGCAAATCTTTACTGGCAGTGCCCTCAGCATTAGAATTGTGACAGAGGGGACTGAGACCCTGCCTGGGGACCCCCTCAGTGACCAACAAAATGAACATCACTAGAGGGGCATCCTCCACCCTCCAGGGACAGGGATCTCCTACCTCAGGAACCTCTCCAACACCTTGCCTTGCCCTCTGAGTGCCCCCAGATGTGCCCCCAGAGCTCCACTTCCCTCTTCTGAGTGCAGGGAGGTTTCCAGAGCCCCAGAGCCCCAATGCCATGGACCAGCATTGCCCCAGAGCCTCCAGGTTCATTCAGAGCATTAATGAGGAATCTGGCACACGGAGAGGGCAGCTGGACCATCAGCCCCAGTTAAAAGAACCCCCCCAGACTGGTTTGTGTCCCTGAGGGTGGCGAGAGCAGTGTGGGGGTGAAGGTGAGTGATGCAGCCTGAGCACCTGGCACAGCCCAGGGGTGAGAGCCAGCCCAGCCCCATCCCTGTGGGACAGCCCCAGGCACTGAGGCAGCACTTTACTCTCCCTGTGATCGCTGGGGACAAGGAAACAGCACCACAGGATCCATTTCTCACGATCTGCTGGTGCCAGCCTGAATCATGTCCAAGAGCCCATCACTGAGGCTGGCCGGGGTCCAGCTCTGCTCCCTGCTGGAGCCTGTGGGGCTCCCTGCCTCTCTCATCACCTCAGTGCATGCTCTAAACCTGCCTTTCTCTGCTGGTTTTTTGCAGACAAGCCACGAATGAACAACATCCTCACTTCAGCCACCGAGCCCTACGACCTGTCCTTCTCCCGCTCCTTCCAGAACCTCTCCCACCTCCCGCCGTCCTACGAGTCTGCTGTCAAGACCAACCCCAGTAAATATTCATCTCTGAAGAGACTCAGTAGGTGTCAGCTCCTTTCGTTCCGCCTGTGTTTGCTTTGTTCTGGGCGTTCAGGAATAACCCTTCCCTCTGCTGGGCCACTCCCGGCTTGGCATCTCCAGCTCTGATTCCTGTGGCTGTCCCTTCCCATCAGGGATCAGTGTGGAGATTCAGTTCATGTCTGGGTGCTCAGAGCTGCCCTTGGCACAGCCAGGCCAGGGATCTCACCAGCCATGGGCAGCTGGGAATGCCAACAGGAAGATGCTAAGGTGGTTGGGAAGATCTTTTCCAGGAGAAGCCCTGCCTGCCTTGGGCAGTGCTGCAACCCACGTGCTCCAAGGTGTGTCAGAGCTGCTCCTGACCTGTTCCATGCTCAGATCCACTCTCTGTCCCATGCTCTGTGTGTGTCCAGAACTGTTCCATGCTCAGATCCATTTCCTATTCCATGCTGTGTGTCCAGAACTGTTCCATGCTCAGATCCATTTTCTATTCCATGCTGTGTGTCCAGACCTGTTCCATGCTCAGACCCACGGGGTGTTTTGGGTGTTCCAGCAGCTTTGCTCTGTCACAGTCATTAGCATCTCTCCTTTCCTGCAGTTTTATGGATTGCAGTGTTCTGCCAGTGGCAGTGCTCCAGTTCATCCCCTTTGCTGATCTCAAACCCTTCAGCTTCAGTGGGATTCTGAAACAAGTGATTTTTGTGCAGGAAATGCTCTCTGCAGATTCACCCTGGGTCTGTAGTTTCCATGAGCAGTTTCTGGGTGACAAACTTAGAGAAATTGCTTAGATCTTTACACCCACAATGGATCACTGAGGGCAGGGGAGGAGGAGAAGCAGATCTGACTTGGTCTGTGGAAAATCTGCATTCCCAGCTAAGGGAGACACACCAAATTTAGTGACAGGGAAGACTTTGGACTATCCATAAAGAATATCTTTAGAAGATTTTTCACAAGAGACAACAAAATGAAAATGCAGCACAAAAAAAAAAAAAAAAAAAAAAAAAGAAAACATCTCAGTCCACTCCTTGGCTCTTTAATGTGGGACTTAAGTACCTGTTTAATATTAAGGAAATTCATTTGATGTGCTTAAAAGCAAGAATGTACTGAACTATGTTGGAGACCAGAGCTGAGGTATTTAGGGATTGGAGCCTGCCCTCCTCCCTGCTCCCTGTGCCCTGTGCCCAGCTCTGCTTCTGCCATGAGCTTTGTTCCCTGGGAACACTTGGATCTCACATTCCCAACCAAAAGATCCCAATGCTGAGCAGTTCATGTTCATGAGTAGCTCGGATGATAATGTCTGGTATTGGAAACCCCTTGAAATCAGGTCATTGTAATATTTCTGCTTTAAATTGTCCCTATTTCGAGGTGACCAAAATGAGAATTTCTCTGCACACAAAATGCACCCCTGGAGGCCCTGGCACAGCTGCCCACAGAGGCTGTGGTTGATCCCTGGAAGGTCCAAAGCCAGGATGGAGCACCCTGGGATAGTGGAAAGTGTCCCTGCCATGGCAGGGGTGGAACTGGATGATCTTTAAGGTCTCTCCCAAGCCAAACCAGTCTGGGATTCTGCCTTGTGATCCTATGATTTCCTAGATCTTTGTCTAAAATGACAAAAATAGGTTTGTGTTAGGGTGCCCAGGCTAAATGTTCTGAGTGCAGTCAGTGCTCCTGGAGCCTTCCCTGCCCCTCTGGGACGTCCCTGGCAGTGACCAAGGACCCTGAGCTTGTCTTTGGCCCTTGGCTGGAGAGGGGTTCAGTCAAAATCTTAAATATCCCCACAGGGAATGCCAGCTCACTGCAGGGCAAAGCCCACCCAGTGAGGCCTCCAGGGCAGGTGTGGACAGGCTGCAGTGCTCTCTGCAGGACACCAGCACAGCCTCCTGCACAGCACTGGTAAATGCCAAACCAACTCTGCATTTCTGAGCAGCCCTGCAAGTGCCAAGCCCTCCCTGCTCCCACTGGGGCTGAATACACTCAGCACCTCCAGAATCACTGAATCACTTTCTTGCAGCTGCTCTACTCCAGAGCCAAAGGAAAAGAGGCTCCCAGCTCCCAAACCTCCCCTTGCAATATGCCAGAAAAATAATTTTCTTATTCCGTATGAAGGAGCTGAAAGCAACACAAAAAAAAGTGTGAGATCTAAAAGCTGGAATTCGAAAATTATTTATTGGGCCTTTGTTTTTCTTATTTAAAATTCTTTCTTTCCAATGGACTCCCTTTCATGGTTAGGAAAAAATAAAATAAGTTATGAAGAGATCATTAACAAATACTTGTATTTGAGCACGATAAAAATCATTACAGATTTTTTTTTAAATCTATGTTTCAGGTGCTTGTCTAGGTTTCCTCAGGCTTACCAGGCAGGGAAAGGTGAATTATTTTCCTCCAGTTAGCAGAGACAGATGGTGAAAGACCAGGGCACAGACAAGAGGAGCCCACCTGGGTTGTTTTGGGGGGTCTCTGAGGGGCTGGGCACCCCCTGTGCCCTGGCAGGGGGAAGAGCAGTGATGGGAGCAGTGAGAAAGTGGCTGAGCAAGAGCAGCTGGATTAATTCCATCCTGCCTGGTGCTCCAGGGAATTGCTCTCCCAGCGAAGTGAGAAAGGTCAGTCAGGAAGGAAGCTCCTATTTTCAGGCATATTAAACCACTTGGTGCTGGCTGGAGAATCATCACAAGTGACTGGGCAGCTTGGAAATGTTAAAGCCAATTAAAACAAGGAGAGACAAGCCCAGAGAGGAAACCTGCTGGAGCTGCAGAGGAAGAAAGCTGGGGAAAAAATTACCTTTAGGAAAAGGAGAGGAATTCTTGTGATGGCCTCACATGCACACACACGAGCATCTGCTCTCACTATGGTAATGTATAAGAACAGGAAGAAAAACTGACCTTGGCTGTTCTGCTTCACATTCCTTTCCCAGAGCACCACAAACCCCTTTTTTTTTCTGGAATTTCTGGAATTCCAGTGCCAGAGGAGCTCTGCCCTGCCTTTCTGCAATGGCATCTTAGTTTGAGGTGGAATGTGTAAGAGCATTTATTTGGGGATCTCCCTCGAAATGAGGGGGAAAAAACACAAAAAGCCACCAAAAAAAAAAAAAAAAAGCAACAACAACAAAGAAAAAGCTGTCTGAGGGCAGAACAGCTTAGCTTGAAGCCAAGGCAGTTGAAGCATTCAAACACTCCTGAAGTTTGGTGAGACCAGCCCTGACTGATATTCTAGAAACTGCCAAAGGAGAAAAGAAAGGGCAGAAAAATCCCAGCCAAAACAAATCCAGAAAAAAAAGCCCAGAAAGTGTGCAGAAAGAATAATTTCCAGTAATTCCAGTTCCAAATGTTTAAAAAAACACAAGGAAAGACTCAGAAGTATAGGCTTGATTCAAAAATAGAAAAAAATCCTGTCAAGCAATACATCAGTGATTCTTTTTTGTCTGTTCACAATTTCTGCACTTTTGGAAACCTCTTAGGACACTTTTTGAAATTTTTAAGCACGTCCTTGATGGAGAAGCACACTGAATTGTAGTTTTATTTTGGTTAAATTGTGAGAGTCCGTTCTCACGCGAGCCTCAGTGACAAGACACGAGGCAGAGTTATCCCAGCTGTCCCAGGGACTGGGCTGCTCTCATCAGGGTGACCCGAGCCAGCCTGGGAGGTGTCCCTGTCCATGGCAGGGGCTTGGAACTGGATCATCTTTAAAATGTCTTCCAATCCAAATGTAGCTGTGGAAAGGGGTTTTAACCCTTTAAGTGTGGCAGAAATAAGATGCACAGCTACACGGTCATCTTTCATGACAGGAAGAAAGAGCCAAGTTTATTCAGAAACACACTTGGTTTTATAGCATGACTGCAACTCCAAGAGTAGAGAAAAGGTGATTGGTTCAGAGAGAAGACACCCCATTGCCAGGGCCTGGTCACACACAACAACAGGTCTTCTATCTTGTTATTAATTCCTTTTTATTTTTACCAAATTATCACCCTGGGGGAAATTCTCCCTAGCCTTGAGCTGGACCAGCTCATGGGCTGGGAACAGAGCTGAGAATTTCCTGGAATATTTTTCAGGCTGTAATTTTCTTACTTTCTCAATATGTGTCCCACACCCAAACCATTTTGTGATCCCAAGATTCAAGAAACTTTGGTTTTGTCCAAGTGTGCAAGCAGAGCTCCTCATTTCCCACCTGCACTCAGTGGGCAAAGCTGCTGGAGCTGCTCCCTCACCAGCCTGGAGCTGGATTTGTTTCTCTGCTGTCCCTGGTGCAGGAATTGGTGGTTCCAGCGCTGTGCTGAGCTCTCCCTTGGCACAGGCACGTGTCTGATGCAGCACATTCCTGTCAGGCTCCGTTCCCCATCCCTGGCTCAGGCTGACACCCCTCTCAGAGCCAGCAGCCTGGAAAATGTCTGGCTGGGGCTGCCTCGAGCAGCTTGTTGGGTGTGACACTCGGCTGCTCCGACTGCTCTGAGCTGGAGATGAGAAGTTTTCCCACACCTGGAAACGTTCCTCCTCCTCAGCATCACGGGGGACACGGCCTGAGAGAGCTTTGAAGCATCTTTGAAATTAAATCAGCACCCTGAAAGGTCAGCAAAAGGCTGCACAGACCAAGGTCACAGGGTGGGAGAGGGAAGGAAAAAGTATTTTTTATGCTCCTAATGGACAAAACATTTTAAAGTGTAGAGCATGCTGCATTTTTAATCCAAGGAACAGATTCAAACCATTTCCAATCAGCTGATTGTGCCACCTCTCTAGCAGCCTCAGAGCTGTAAACCTCACATAAGCTGGTTTAGCTCCTGCTGGCAATTACCAGAGCCAGGTGTGAGCATCCAAGCACATCTCCATTTGGGATGTTCTGTGCTTTAATTACATCTATTTAGAGTCACATGGGCAAATCCGGTGGAACTCCTCTCATCCAGAGCAGAGGCCAAGTGCCAGAGTGCTAATTGCTTCATTCCCACTCTGCAGCCAGCCTGAGCCTGTGCACACCAGCGTGGCATTTCTAACTACGGCCAGAACATAGAATAGAAATGCCTACACTTCCTGGGGCCATATGGAATTTCCCCCGCCCTCAGGCTTCCTAGAAGGTGATTTTAAAGACAGGCCAGGAGAGCTGCTGCCTGACATTTGCAGTGAGACATCCTTCCAAGAAGTGTTGGATGGCAAAAAATGAAGAGTCATTCCTGTAGAATTTGCTCTGGAGAGCAAATCCCACGAGCAGGAAGCCGTGGGTGACCTCATGCCCGGGGCTGTGGGCTGGGAGGAAGGGGCTGCCAGCAGCCCTGGTGGCACAGATGTTCTCAGCTCCTACTGCTGGATGTGAGACAGGAACCAACCCCACCTCCCCACGGATCTGGGCTGTGCACAGGGAGCAGGGAAGGGAAGGTGTGGGAGAGGGGATGAGGACAGAAGTGAGGGATGTGGCCCAGCACAGGGTGGTGACAGCCCTGTCACCAGGGTTTGGCTGAGCTGGTGCCTTGTGAGCAAAGCTCTGGGATGCTGTCAGCACCCACTCACAGGAGTCTTCAACTCCCAGACAGTGAGGTGCATAAAGCCTACACACTGATGGCTAAGTCAGAAGAAAGAGGGAATTTCAACCATTATTTAACTGCCAGGCCTGTTGAAGTTCTACAGGAAGAGGCACCACCACCTTCCCTGCCCCATGATCACCCCGACCATCCTGCAGCAGAGCTTTGCTCTTTTTGTCACTCTAACATCCTCAGAATCTCCACACATGGAAAATTTTCCTCTTCCACCATCTCATCCTTTTCTATCTTACATCACCTGCCATGGACTGAAATACTGGAGCTGAGAAAATAAACAAGGTTCCTCTTTATTATCACATATCTTCATCATATTTGTCTTAGAAGCAAATGACTTTCCAGAGGAATTTTATGTCAGTCCCAGGAGCTGGCTGAGGATGGGTAGGACAGGATGTGTTTGCCCATCAGCACTTGGCTCAAGCCTGGCAGGGACAGTCCCTGCTGGGTCCTGTGTGTGCACAGCTCTGGGGACCCGTGCCAAGCTCTTCTTATGAGGTCACTTTGCAACAAACCTCATTTCTTCTGTAAGGTGGAGAAATTTCCTTTACCTTTGTATGGGGAATCCCCTTCCTGCACCCCACTGCTGTCTTCTCCAAGAAGAGGAGGGTTCTGCATGGTGTCTGGGATGAGTCTCACTCTGAGGGGCTCTGAGGTCACTGATGAGCCAGAAAGGGAGAGGGAGAACCTCTCAGACAGAGAGATGAGACAGAAGGCACACAGGGATGATCAGTGTGGAGCATTAAATGTGACTCTGCCTTGGTTTGAAAGACAAGTCCCCCCCAAATTATTATGATTTTGAAATTAAGGGGCTCTCAGGCAAATAGATGGGAATAGGAATAACAGTTCTTTACTAGGAAAAATTACAATAGAAATACAGTATTACAGAGAATAAACACAAAACACTGACACAGTCAGAATCCAAGGTGCCCCCGTCAGTCAGTCAGGGTTGGTGCAGTCCCATTCCATGGTGGCTGCATCCTCCTGCAGTGACAGATGTGGTTCTGCTGGAGCAGGGCTCCTGCACAAGGTGCAGTTTTCCTCCAAAGCTGCAGGGATGATGTGGAAGGCTCTGGTTTTCCTCTGGGATCCAGTGGGAAAAGGCTGCTCTGCTGTTCCAAATCTCCCCTTTGATCTGGGTAGGAAATGTTTGGCTCCTGCCCTGGCTGGAGCATCTCCCAATGGGATGATGGAATTTGATCAGCCCTGCCCTGGGACTGCATGGCCATGAACAGGAGAGATCTCCTGGAGGGAGGATGGGCTGTGGGAAAGATAAAGAACACTGCAACAGCTGGGTGAACAGCTGGGATAGAACACACACTGCTGGGCACAGCTTGCATTGCAGCCTAAGACAGACTCCATCTCCTGACCCACAGAGGCAGAGCTGTGCTCTCCCACTTGTGACAGTGGAATTTTGGGGAGGGATGGGCATTCTGGGCTTTGCAGCCACAGACACATCGGGGCACCTCAGGCTGCCCAAGGACTGCCAAGCCTCCTTCCAGGTAAGTGATCCCAGTTCCCTAGTTCACAGCATAAGAACATCAGAGGGATTAACCAGAAAGTTTTTGTGTTTCTGTTGCTGCTTTTAAAAAAAAAAAAAAATCTGAAACAACTGTGGAGTTGTTCTTCGACTTACCAGTTGGTTGAATCAGGTCATTGCAGCTGCTGTAGGATTCCAGTGATCTATCACGATACAGCTGCAGTAGCCAACATCCTCTCTGAGACTGCAGCATTTCTCTCAAAGCCAAAAAAAGGAGGGTGAGTGTGTGGGGAGTGTGTGCTGCATTTCAGAGCAGCAGAGAGATCATTTCATATGCAGGAACAGACTGAGCAAGAAATGTTCCATGGGATAAATGCTATTATATCAACCAAGGTTGATTATAAAAACAGGAAATGAAACTTTAGGCAGGTGATTCAATGTCTCAGAGACCATCCCATGACCACCAAACCTGTATTGTGATCACATGTGCAAATATTTAAATGTTGGTAATTAAAATGTGATGAGGTCATCTGTGGGCTCCAGGGAATACCCATGTCTGAGGCCAGAGGTGACATGGGGACCTTGCCTGCTCATGTCACCTGCCCTGTTCTTTCCTGTGAAGGTGACATTTGGGAATTTCTCCAGAACTCTCACGTAAATCTTGTGGTACCACGGCCTGGCCTCCACAGCACTTGGAGGGGTGTGGGATGCACTGCCCAGGGACTGGCACCGTCCCCATGCACTCCACACTCCTGTCTGCCACAAGCCCTTGGTGACACCACCCACCCAGGGCTGTCCCTGCCTGTGGCAGATGGTCCCTGGGGTGTCACCAGGAGGCAGCTCTGGGGCTGTGTGCTGAGCACAGCCCCTTTGCACCCCTGGGACAGCACTCTGACATTTCTAACCCCTCCCTTTCCCTTCCCACAGCTGACAAAGAGGCTGACGAGTACTACATGAGGAGGAGACACCTGCCCGACCTGGCAGCCCGGGGCACGCTGCCCATCAACGTCATCAAAATGTCCCAGCAGGGCAACCACCGGGACAGGCCCCGCCGCCCCATCAGGGCCATGTCCCAGGACAGGGTGCTGTCCCCTGAGAGGATCATGCCCGAGGAGTTCAGCATGTCCTACGAACGGATTCTGTCAGACGAGCAGCTCCTGTCAGCAGAGCGCCTGCACTCCCAGGACCCGCTGCTGTCCCCGGAGCGCTCGGGCTACCCCGAGCAGTCCATGTCCAGGGCATTGTCACACACGGATGTCTTTGTGTCAACACCGGTCTTGGATCGCTACAGGATGTCAAAACTGCACTCCCATCCCAGTGCCTCAAATAACTTGTACAATACCTTGAGTATGAACCCGACCTCGGCCAAGCGCCAAGCGTTCGCCTCGCGCCGGCACAACACGGTGGAGCAGCTGCATTACATCCCCGGGCACCACCACCACTACCGCACCGCCAGCAAAACCGAGGTGACTGTTTGACACGACCCAGTGCATTGTAGATACTCCTTAAGGACTGGGGTGGCCACAGCACCCCCTTCTGCAGTGGCCTTATAGGCCAAGATAACCTCTACTAACTCAGTGTCTGCAAAGACTTCTCTGGCAGTCCCACCCACGTTGTTTTTAAAGCCACCCCTTCATCAGCGACACAGGAAGAACTGAAGCAGCAGTCAGACACTGGTGAGGGATAGCAGAGGAAATTTCCTGATGTGCATCAGTTTCTGTCAAAGAAAGCCATAGTAATCGATGGCTCCTTCCAAGGGCTCACCTGCATTATCCCATAGTTTCCATGAATTCAGGACTTTCAGTTGCTCCAAGGAGAAGCAGCCTGAGACAGGGAGGAGGAAATGCAGCCCCCCATCCTGGCAGGAAGGGGCCTCGTTCTTGGTCCTCGTGTTTGGCCTTTCTGTAGCAAGTAGGGAGGTTCCGGGGGTTCACCCCCAGGCTGCTCGACACCCATCAGCCCCCACACATCTGTTCTTTGTCACCCTTGGAGCAAATTCAAGGGCAGACTTTCCTACGGGACTGGCAGATCTAGGGACAAGAATAGCCTGGCTGAGAAATAAAGTTTTAGTTTATACTAAATATACTCATAAGATAAAAACATACTAGTGCCTACAAATCGCCTGCTCTCTCAGTGTAGGAAGTAGTGGGGTTGATGTGTTCAATAAGCACAAATATGCTGAAATGCTTGTTAGACCCTTTTCTCCACTCATTCTAGTATCTTGGTGTCTCCAACATGTAAATAGGAAGGAGGAAGAGGGTTTCTCTTCCTCTAGCTTCTTGCCACTGCTGAACCTAAAGCAGCAGAACCCATTTCAGCTCCACACTGCTGGCCTGTGCTGGGGGAGGTCCTGACCCCACCGAGACCCCAGCAAGCCTGGATTTCTCCCCAGAAGTTTCTTTTCCTGATAGCATTTTCCATGGTCCAATTCCCCTGTTTCTGAACGTTTTCTCCTCCCATTCACAGCCTAGAGCTCCATATGTAGCAAATCTTTTTCCAGCCCTTAGCAGAGGCACAAAGCTGAGGGTGTCTGTTTACCGAAAAGCAGGTCGGTAACTTTCCGTGGTTTTCTCTCCCTGCAATGGCCTCCCAAGAAAACCTTCCAAATTCCAATTCCACTGAGTCCCAATCCTAACCATGAAGACAGTTACATTTCATGCATATAAATTATATATCCAGCATAATTATAATTAATGGGCATGTTGTATATCTGATATAATGCTAATTAGATACTGTATATTTGTAAAATCTTTAAAACATAGACTCGTGGGTCCAGAATTTGTGAGGGTTTTACCTTTGGCTTTCCAGACAGATTGGGCTTTGCTTTGGTTTTTTGTTAGATTTGGGTTTTCTTTTCTTTTTTTTTTTTCCCCCTTTGATTTGTGCTCCTACCAAATTCTGTAGAACTGACTCCCACTGGAACACACTTCTGCATCCAGGAAAGGGTCTCAGGGGGTTTGAAGGCAAGGCAGACCCGGTGCTGGAGCTGTGGGTGCTGGACACTGTCCCTGGTGTGCCCTCGAGGCCCCAGCACACACACACACCCCCGGTGAGATGACGACTGACTTCAGGCTGTGAGCACATCCCTTCTCTTCATGTCCCACATTCCCACGCTGACTTTTCGTGCATGGCTCTTCACTAGGCTTCACTGAACTCTGCTCTGCCCTCGTCCCTGCCCTCAGATACCTCCTGGCCTTAATGACATTCCCAGCCCAGCTCTGTCAAGTCCTGTAGCAAACACTGCTGGTAGGGCGTGAGCGTGAGTCTCCTGCGGAGGCTTTGGTGCAGGGTAGGCAGGAGGAGCTCGTGTCCTTGCCCCAGTGGGACTTACAGGTGGGCTCAGTGGGGTGTCCAGGTGGCCTTTCTCTTTCCCAGGCTGTCCTGGAGCTGGTCCTATTTCCAGAGCTTTATGCTGCCCCATCTGATGGAGGCTGTGTTGGGAAGGACTCCATCAGTGAGAGGTTACTGGGGCTTTGTTTGACGGAAACTGAGCTGGGAGGGAATAAACAAATAACAGTCTCCAGGGTCAGATCCTGCAGCTTTGGGCAAAATCACTCTGGGCAACAACCAGAACTGTCTGTGGATCAGAGTGGCAGTTCATGGCACGGGAGGGATGAGAGAGAACAGGCTCACACCTCATCTCCTGCCCCTCCCTTGATGGACACTACTCTCCCCTGACTACCTCCACGCTCCTCGGCTCAGCCCCTGGATTTTTCCTCCCAGAAGACAATCCCTGTGAGAACATTGCCCTTGCTGACCTTTCCACAGGCCAAAGTGTGGGACTCGTGTGAAGAGAAGAGGAACTCTGACAGCTGATGGGGAGGCAGCCTGAGCTTCTGGGGCTCTTCCATTCTCTCTTGGCCCAAGCACAGCCAGGGAGATGTGAACACTGGGGAGAGCAGAGTCCACTCTAGAGTCTCCAGGAGCTGTGGTGGCAGAGCTGGACAAGAGGTGACGGTGGGAGGCTGTGGGTAGGTGAACACTCCTCTCTTTCCATGTCCATAGCTGTGTGCCTCAAGCTCTAGTCCTCATCTCAGTGTTCCATTTGTGAACTAAGAAGTTGCTGGACCACATGAAAATTTGGAAATTTTTTGTTTTGAGTAGCCCATGCTGATGCTGAGCTGTGTCTGGGCCATTTGACCTCTGTGTCTTCTCCTGTTCTGTCTAAAAAATTTCACAGGCCCTGTGCTGATGTGTCCTACCTGGGCAAGAATCCTCCAGAGAAATCTTAACCTCATTTCCTTCTTTTTTTTCCACCTACTCAACTGTTTCAAGCAGATGTGTCCCACAAGGAGCTTTTTTAGGCCAAATCTCTTCAGGGACTCTGCCACCACTACAGAAAATTTTCAGCAAATTTCCTTGGGAAGGAAGCGTGCCCTGGATAGCACCTGGGCACCATGTGTTCCCACAGCTCTCTCTGTGCTGGAATGCCTTGGTGGGTGGGGCAGTGGCATTTCAGCACACACTGGTGTCCTTAGGTCATTTTTTCCCCTTATTCCTCCTCATGAGAATTTGTCACTGGAAGAACACTTGGTCTGGGACCGAGTGCCATGACCCACAGCCTGGTCCCCAGCACTTCAGTTCCCCATGGTCCTCATGTGATGAAAATGGGAATTTCCTGCTCTGTGGAGGGATCAGACCATAACATCTGTGAAGGGCTCTGGGACCCTCTCACAACAGAAACTGTAGAGCAGCAAAGTGTTTTTGTTAATTGTTTGTCATTGTCCCGACACATGGTGTGTGATGTGTCACAGTCTGGTGTCTGCCCGGGAGAGAGCCGGGCTGGGATTGCCCAGATTCCCACTGCTCTCCTCCTGGCCGGGGTCCTGGCAGGCAGCAGCTCCAAGGGATGCTGTTCCCTGCACTGGGACCTTCCTGCTTCCCTCTCCTCATGTCTGAGTCACCACAACACCCTGCACTCAGGAGAAAAGCGGGAAGCAGCCACATTCCTCTGTACAGTAAAATAGAACCTGCCTTGATTAATCTCATATACTCTGAAGAATTGATCTGTATTTTCTCCACCCACAGGTGCGAACAAACACCTGGGGAGTGTCCAGTTCCCAGAGTGCATGTGCAGGGACTGGGGGAGGGGGATGTAGAAAAGTTTATATTGTTTCCTACAAGCTGATAATTATTTGCATTCCCTGAGCAGCAACACATCCTGGATGGCTGCACTGGGTTTTTTACAATTCTCTGTGTATGTGTATATAGATACAAATATATATATATATATATATATATATATATACATACACATACATATTGCAAAATGCAATCAACACGTTCTGACTGACCCTGTACCAACCGAAGCTTCCAAACTGTGTTGAATCATTCTTTGAAACGTGGAAAACTATTTTTAATGAACCACACACAGCACCACACAGAACAGGAACTTTGTCATAAAAAGCCTTCTAATGCCAGTGAATCGTGTTTTAAGGAAAAAAAAAAAAAAAAGAAGAAATATTTTTCAATGTTTTAATGTTCCTTTTATAAATGATGATCTGTTACTTGGGGATGGGGATGGGTGGGAAGAGACACAGACAGTTGTCTAGGAGTAAGCCCTCCTTCCCTGGCCTGGAATTAATTTCTGTCTGCTGAGCCTGGCTGGCTGCAAAGCTGCTCCCAGGAACCTGAGCTTCCCACATGCACATTTCTGTTCCATCAGAAGCATTCCCACCAGGAATCTGCAGGAGCTTGGCATCAGCTTTTTGTAAGAGATGTTTAGTTCCTGGTAGCTGGGAAGACATCCTCATCTTCTTCCACCACACAAACAAAATCGCCATGAAGCAGGGTAACTTTAGTTGTGTTTGAAATATGAATTCTGTTTGGGATCTATTTGCCATCTTCAGCTCATGCAGAAATAGCTCATCTTAGTTTAGTTTCAGATTTAGTGCTTCATCTGGAAGGAGGGACTCTGCTGAAATACCTTTAGCACGAGCAGATTTTGTGTTCAGGTGTATTTCAGCGGAGTGAAAGAAGGGAAATGTGTGAGAAAGGGGCTTCAATATTTTCCTAGTGAGTGTTGTTAGCAATAAGCCTTTGTTGGGGCTGCTCCCTGGGGAACAGCCACTTGTGTGCTGTGAGTCCACAGGCAGGTGGGAGAAGGGATCATTCCCAGCCCTCTCAGTGCTCAGAGGTGCCCTCCCCGAGCCCAAATCCCAGCTGGGAAAAGCCAACCGTGCTTCCCCCAAGGGCCAGGGGAGAGTTGGACAGGGCTGTCTGAGCGTGTCAGTGTGAAGGAAAGAGATCTCTGCTCCAGCACCCCGGGCCTCCACCGCGGCCACACCATCCCAGGAGATCTCCATGCCAGGAGAGCTCCATCTTTGGAGATCCCTCTCCTCCTCAGGAGGTCCCTTTCCATCCCATGAGATACCTCTCGATCCTGGGAGATGTCTCCCCATTCCAAGAGGTCTCCATGCCAGGAACTCTCTCTCCATCCCGGGAGATCTCTCTCCATCCCAGAATCTCTCTCCCCATCCCAGGAGCTCTCTCTCCATCCCAGGAGCTCTCTCCCCATCCCAGGAGATCTCTCCCCATCCCAGAATCTCTCTCCCCATCCCAGGACCTCTCTCTCCATCCCAGGAGCTCTCTCCCCATCCCAGAATCTCTCTCTCCATCCCAGAATCTCTCTCTCCATCCCACCCCTC